TCCATCCATCCATCCATCCATCCATCCATCCATCCATCCATCCATCCATCCATCCATCCATCCTCTCCTGCTAATTCCATTATAGTTGCGGAAGACACACAACCAAACACACTCACACTTCAGGAGAATTTAGAGAAGCCAATTAACCTAACAGTCATGTTTTTGGATCGTGAGAGGAAGCTGGAGAACCCATACATGCAAGGGAAGAACATGCAAACCCATGCAGAAACACCCCGGGTCGCAAACCTGGATCCGTATTGCTAAAAGGCAAGAGTGCTACAAACTGCTCCACGGAGCAGCCTGTATTTTTTTTTTCCTAATTAAATATAATGTAATTAAGTCTTAGGTATCACGAAGAAGTTAAGTTTTCTCTGCACCAACTTTACCACTGCTAATGTGAAGGCAGTTGAGGTGAGATCATCGCTAAATGGTGCAAACGACTTTGAAGGCGAACAGCAAACTGATACAGATTCTTGATGTATATGGGGAATAAACGCCTCTTGTGTTTTCTGTGGTTTATCACCATTTCTTTAGTTTTGCTGCCGTTCAGCAGCAGGGTGTGTTCAGATAAACCACCTGCCAGCTTGCTGACCTCATTCTTACACACAGTTTCAGCTTCTCTGCTGACAAGGCCAGAGATTAATGGGTATAGAGTGAAAAAGGAGAAGAGTCAGTAAAAGCCCTGAGGAGAGGCTATGCTAAGGAGCAGGTGGAGACAGGAAATCCCTCATCCAGAGAACCGGATCTATGCAATGAATGCTGGGTGAGGTACAGCGAGCCAGAGCCATGGAGATCCGTTAGCTCTTTAGACAAATTTATAGGTCCAGATCTGAGGGAAGTCTAGCATCCTGGATGAGGCTCTGAAAACATTTCATGATAACTGATGTTAAGGAAAAGGTCTGTAATCACTGGGACACTTTTGGGCAGGAGTCTTTGGTGCAGGTTAATAGCAGCCTATGCCAGGATCAAAGGATAGTCATCCCTTAAATCTTTGGGGTCCGAATAAAAAAAATCAACAACCAGTAAAGGTCTGGAGACATTTTTTATTATTATAATCTGTTACTTTAAACAGAATTTAACACTGAAATAAAATGAGGTTTTTATGCATCCATGTTATACATTGAATTCTTAAATAATAAAAAAATAAAATAAATTTTTTTTCCATTTTAAAATCTAAAGTGTTTTTTGAAGTAGAGAACAACAATCCATCAGTTTGGTATATAGACAATTTCCTGATTCCCATTGTAGGAGCTATGTCTCCATTTTCAGTTAAATCTTAGATTTTGGATTATTTATTTTGATTTATTTAAAATAGGATTTGTTTAGGGATTCAGTTAATTAATTTAGCTTGGGATGTGAGTGTTTTACAGTATAAATAGGTCGGTCTTAGGTAGCTTATTTTGCACATGGGTGGTCATATGTTTTTTTTTTACAGTTTTCAATCACAGTTCTTAGTTTTCAGTCAATCAATCAGAGTGAGAGCAATAGAAGAATCCTGTGCAGCCTGTGCCTGTTTGTCTTTACGGAGAAATAAAGCAAGCAAAGAACTGGATTTTGACCCTTTTTTTTATATTTTTCTGACTGCGTAACCCAGAATCCACGGTGCATCCGGTGGCTGATTGAATTGAATTCACCTTTTGCTTTGATCACCTTTAAGTCATAAGTGTCAAGGTTTGGTTGAGGTTTGAGGACGCAGAGGCAGAGAGGCTGTCGAGATTTCTTGCTGTTTAATGGGGGGAAAAAACAGTAAACAAAGGCAGGAAACCAAAAATCCAACTAATAACGAAAACCCAACCAGAACCATGGAGACATCAGGGGAAAATAATCACGAGGAGCCAGGGAGAGACGAGGTAGGACGAAAACAGCATAGAGATCCAGCAACGACAAGGAACCAACAAAGAGTGACAGCAGAGGGAGAATATATGCAGCTGACTGAAACAAAGGCAGGGTTAACAAGCAGATAAGGAGCAGGTGTGAGTGGAGACAACGAGGAAGCCAAGGGAAAAGGAACACACACAAGAGGGCAAAAACAGATAAACCGGAGAACTAACATAAATCTAGAAACTAAAACAAAATAGGAAGTAAACCAATAAAAATAGAAAACAAGGAGCAAAGTAAAGCACAACAGAACCAAGACCATGACAAAAGTTTTTTTACTTTTGAATTTTAGTTTTGTACAAATAGTCACAAAACACATATTTTATAAAACACCTGAACTAACCGTTTGTTTTTTTCTTTCTTTTTTTTCTGGCTTAATGAGAGCAGTGGGCTTTATGCTGCCCTGCAAGGCTTTAAACCTGAGTTTAAATGGAGATAAAGCCGTTCTAAAGGACATATCAAGGAGCTCATTTTGAACCTGGATCAATATTTATTTTTGATTCTGTTCATGGAGGAGAATCCTGCTTTTCAGCAGCAGGTTGAGCCAAACATTCTCTAAATATGCAGGGTCATCTTTGAGCACACCATTTCACTTTTCTTTCACCAGTTCACCGCAGTTCTTCCAGCAGTCCACACTTTCTTTCACTTTTTCTCATCATCTTCTCCTTCTTTCCCATCGCCCGGCTTGCCACAGGTTTGCCTGCTGTGTCTAAAAGTAGCAGCAGCAGCAACCCAGACTGACAGCAGCTCATTGACTAATTTGTATCCCGTGTAGCCTTGTGCCGGAAGCTCTGGAGGGCTTTACCGGAAGTAAAATTAGACATCGACGTCGAACAACATGTAGTCATTTATAAATGTTTTAAATCAGGTTGAGTTCAGACCTCTGCCCTGGAGCATCAGTGTCCAGATCTTAATTCAATGGAATTTAGTTTTAAGTCACGTTTTTTTTAAGTATAGCAAAGGTTACCTGTGTTGGAAAGCCATAGTAAACCTCTTTCCAAAACAGAAACAAAACACTTGGTATGCTCTTGTGTTGCTAACATTTTCCAGCAACACTTCCATCCTGCCTGAGCAGCTGTTTCTGGAAACAACAAGTAGGATATATCTCTGCCCAGATGTTCCTCAGTTCATGTGGCATTCAGCAAAGCTGTTGGCATGGCCCTGTGGCCCCTTTTCTTTCTTCCCCGCAGGCGTTGCTTGAAACAAACACAGAATCTGACGACTTCCTCGTCAGACAATCGTCTTGATGAATCCTCCAACCCAAAGAGCACTTGCAGAAAGTCGGTCCTAATTAGCTGCCAGGGGCTTCAGGGTTGGTTTTCAACTTTGTGGAGTGAAACTAAAAAGAGCCAGAGCCTCTGACATTTGTTTCTTTTCACACCTTGATAGGAAGATTTTTTTCTTGTTTTTACTCTTTAGGATAATGGCCACACAT